TTTAATAATTTTTTTTAAATAAAAATTTTTAAAACTCTATTAAAAAACTCTAGATTTTCACCCTTTTTTTAAAAAAATTTTTTTTTTTTTTTTTAAGAATGAGTTTTTGAATATTAAATTTTGGAAGAACGTGTGATTATAAAGTAAGAAAAAATTTGAATTTACGTGAAAAATAATTTATTGTGAAAATGTATGATTGAAAATGGGAACATAATTAAAATTCAGAAAATTCAAAGCATTGAGAATATAATTAAAATCCACATATATAATCATAACGAATAAGAATCTCATATAAAAGAAATAAATTGCCTCGAATAGGTTACATTGTTCGTCCTAAAATTAGATTTAACTATTTATAATAATGAAAGAAAAATGAGAAGTTATTATGAAAAATATCATCGGGTTTTAAATAAGAATATAGAATAAGAAATCAATCTTGCACTAAGATCTTCTTCCCTTTCCAATTTATGTTTCAACTCTTGAATTACTTGTTGTTTTGTTCTTTTGAATTCTTCTCTTTAATCTCCAAGTATGTCTCTTACAACTCAATGTGTGAATCCCCCTTCAAAAGTATGAAAATTTGTATTTATATATACCTCATTGTGTGTGTAGAAAGTATAACTTTTATGGACTTCAAAATGGGCCAAAACGCTCTCTAGATGCACCTAGGCGACACTTCAACGTCGCGATTGAGGCGCCACCTTTCTGTGGTCAAATATGTCCTTACATTTCTCATGTGATTTACACACCCTCAAATTTACATTTTTTCACACATTCCTAGTATGTAAATATTTCATTACTATCCTCACCCTCTCAAGTTTAGGTGGACGTTATTAGTTGTAAGTCAACGCTTCAGTAAACAAGTATTCTCCATTTATTTGATTATTTGGCCGCCACTACTCAATTAGCTAATCATCCTTCATCGAAAGTAAAATTCCCTCAAATAAGTGTTAGGACTTAACTAAAGTATTTAGTGTTTTTGCTTTTTTTATGCACTTGCTTTTTCTTTTTTACTTTGTTTTATTCTCTCCATTTAAGTTTTCTAAATGACCCCTGTAGCAAACTTTAGGCCGATAACTTCCAAATCAGATAATTTTAGGGTAACAGATTTTTAAGACCCTTACAGGCTTACTGACTCGAGTAAAAAAAACTTCGAAGAAAATGAATTTTTGTTTCAAGTGCAGCTTTATATTTGATTGCCTTCTAAAACACCTCTATAGCGAGCTTTAGACCGATAACTCTCAAGTCAGACGATTTTAGGGCACCAGGTTTTAAGATATCCTTGCAGATTTAATTACTCGAGTCATGAAGACTTCAAAGATTAGTTATTAAATTTCAAATGTATATGTCTTGATTAGTGCAATGCCCATATCACACATTTATTCAGACAAATTGACCTCCAATTTAAGACTTTTACCAAGTTTTATATGTTAGTCTAAGACAATCCACACGTAAAATTTCACACATAGAATCCACATTCACCTCCGCATTTTCTTACCATTATAAAATCACCCCAAACTGTGCTAACTTTGGTCTAAGGAGAAATAACTGAATATCGTTAAGGTAAAGCATCTATGTTCAATTAACTCAACCTATCAAACAAATGAATCAACTTATTTCATCACAGTGTTAAACTCAACCTAGTGCATGTATAATATCTAATTTTACAAGGTTAAGTTTCAATCAGTATAGCATTCATCCGATCCACAATCCATAAATTAACACCAAATCTCAAAGTAAATCGTCATTATAAGCCAAACTGTCCAACTCTCAGACAAAAAATTAGATAGGTAATTAGACAATTAATAATAATACACTCCCCCAAACTTAAACTAAACATTGTCTTCAATGTTAAACTTAAAGGAAAATGAGGAAGACTTCCATGAAATGTCGATATTGCCTATTATGTTGTGGTATCTTGATCTTGCATTTGATCAACTCTTCTTCCACATTCTCTCCCCCAACTTGAGATTTGTCCTATTTTCTCTGTGTCCATGTTAGTTTGAGTGTTCCGTGATGTCATGTTTTTGAAAAATCAAATTTGAAAAATTAAACTCATGGAACAAGGGTTACTTAACTCAAACATCTAATAACCAACTTAATTACTCAATGACCTAAGGGTAAATGAGATATGGGTGATGACTCCTAAATAGACTAATAAATAAACTAAACTATCCTATAACTTGAAAAAAATATATTTAAAAAAAAAAGCTTGGATTGCCTCCCAAGAAGTGCTTAATTTAAAATCTTTGGCTAGACTTTTGCACAAGTGCTTCATGGCACTTTGAATATAGTTATGGAGCTCTTACTTAGTTTGCTTAATTTGACTTTGTTCTATATCTCATACGTCCTCCAGAATCGTATATTCCTTTTTGAATATGGTATGACCTACCTAAACTGCTTGCTTCGAACTCAATCAAAAATATTTCGATCTTCTCATCGTCTTTAATCACAAATTCAATGGAGTTTGATGTTTGCAAACTAATCTCATCTTCATTGAATGCAACTAATTCATCTGGCTCCTTTGCGATTAATTCATCCGTTTCTACACGTTCTGCATCTATATTCGTTAGTTCATCGGGTTGAATGGAATCCTTCGTCGACATGTTATTTAGTTCATCTAGAATTATTTGATCTTCAATCTTTTTACATTTTTACATGATGATGTCTCCCATAATTATTTCGCTATAATCAAAATATTCTTTATACGGATAATCGAAGATTTGTTCCCTCACATCCATTGGAGTTGCCAAATATAAGCAATTTTTAGTATAATGAAATGCACCACAATATTCACCTGTCAGTCTGATATCTTGATAAACAATTGATTTGAAGTTTAAACCTTCGGCCAACCATCCTTATCAAATTCGATAGGTTGATCATATCCCCACCTTTTAAGTTTTAGTCTGATTAGGAATGCTTCAAAAAGCACGTCACCTTAATTTAAGTTGGAATCAATCATTGTGACTTTTTTACCTCTTGCTTCTTTTCATTTCTTGTCAATGGAACAAAGAAAAATAAGTAGGTCAATTGAAAAAGAGGGAAAAAATCAAACAAAAATAAGAAATAACCAAACCAATATTAAAGAAAAATAGTCCCTTGACAACGGCGCAAAAAACTTTCTGTCAATTTTATATCTCGCAAGTGTACGGATTGTAACAAGTAGTAAAGTGGACCTTTTGAGTCCGGATTATAGTTTCCCACGAGAATTATATTTTAATACTCAATTTATTTATTTTTAACTTCTATTTGATGAAAATAAACAAGAACAATGATACACACGAAGAATGATTGAAAATTCAAATAATAAATGGATATTAGGGTGGAACAATTTCACCTATTGATCACATTTAAGTGTTAAATAAAGATTCATAAAATCTAAGGTAGTGTTCAATCAAATTCTTCTATTGTATTCAATTTATCCCCCTCGAATTTTCATTGAACCTATTTAACTACTTCAATTTCATATCTCCATGCGATCAAATTTAGCTAAACGAAATAATATTTTTAAGAATTTATTTACGATTGCAGTAATTAATATAGGTATCTCTACACATTATATTAATTTATCGAATTTTAATATGTGGTCTATACAAATAATTCGTATTTCTACGTGATTATTGTTCACTAAATCATTGAATAATTGGTCTGAAAATTCAAAGTATTGAGAATATGATTAAAATCGACACATATAATCATAACAAATAAGAATCTCAAATAAAAGAAATAAAAGGTTTCAAATAGATTACATTATTCGCCCTAAAATTAGATTTAGTTACTCATAGTAATGAAAGAAAAATAAGAAATTATTATGGAAGATATCACCGGATTTTGAACAAAAATATAGAACAAGAAATTAATCATGCACCAAGATCTTCTTCCCCTTCCAATTTACACTTCAACCCTTGAATTGCTTATTGTTTTGTTCTCTTGAATTTTTCTCTTTAATCTCCAAGTGTGTTTCTTGCATCTTAATGTGTGAATTCCCTTTCAAAAGTGTGAGAAATTTGTATTTATAAATGCCACATTGTGTGTAGAAAAGTAAGATTTTTATGGACTTCAAAATAGGTCGAAAATGGACCCCAGAAGCACCAAGGCGATGCTTCGGTGCCCTGAAGTAGTGCTGGGCGCCACAGCGGCGCCACATTCTAAATAGACAACACATTGTTTAGTATTTTTATCATAAATTTCTTTTTCGATACTCGATTTTGACAATTCAAGATGCGTTGGAAAGTCAACTCAAAGAGCTACAACTTTGTTTTAGATATCATTTTCAAATTTGAACATTTTCTATGTCAAAATCGGGTCCCAATAAGAGGCTGAAAACGGTGCATAACTTTCTTTAGTTGGAATTTAACGTACGATCATACTTTGATTATATTTAATTCATTTGACGTCATTCTTTATCCAATTGACTCTGAACACTCTCGAATCTTCATCATGAGTTCCGACAAACCTTTTGAGTATTTACACTTTAGTCCTTAAACTTTGTATCTTTTACAACTTAGCCATTTTCTCCAATTTTGCTTCTTCCAATTTCTTGTACCATCATTGAATTTTATCTATTCAACATAAAATGCAACAATTTAGACCATAAATAATCCAAAAACAATTAAATATTATCGTTTTAAAATCTTGAATAAGTTATAAAATACACTTATCAAATATAAGAAATAATTGTTTTGGAACAAGGGCTATAAACTTTTTTAATAAAATACAAATTTAAGTGACATTAATGGAACATTGAATAAGAAATACAATTAAATTGGTCACTTAATTTTACGTTTCATTTAGCACCCGTGGTGAGTTAGATAGCATTATTTAAAATAAAAAAAAATTAAAATCATGATGTACCAAATCAAGAGATTTTTTATTCAGAGGGTGTTCAAAATTTCAATGACTTTTATAAAATTCTATAGATTCTAATTTTAAGAAAAATAAATAAAGAAAATAAAATTTAATGAAAGAGTCTTACATTTACCCTTAAGGAAATTGTATTCATGTATGCTAATTTGTGTCATCTAGTATGAGAGACTCCATCTAAGATGGATCCCAGCGCCATTTAGAAATTTGTTTAGAGGATTTTGATGAAGCCTACTTGTTTAAGGAAAAAACAGCAAAACAACTTCAGTCAATCTCCTGCGAGAAATCTTAGGGAAATGAAAGGCTTTGAAGGGTTTGAAACAGTAATCAAGGATATGATTTATGAGGGATGGAATGTCTGGTTCTTGGTTTTTATTTACCTGGCCTTTTAGATTTTCTTGTTCCCTCGAACGGTGAATTTAGATTATTTTCGTTAATATTTTACTAGTTGTGGACAGAGATGACGATGCAAGGGATCGTGTAAGATATGGGAAATTCACTCATGTATTGGGTCACCTTAACATTTTCCACCTTTATAAAAGGTTAGCGAGCCTCCTTTTGGCATGTCATAGTACGGAGAAAACAGACAGAGATATATGCCTGAAAACACATTGTAATCCTGTTGTTCTTTGTACTACAATTTTGCAGCGGCATCAGCAGACAGGTGGATGTGTCACGTAGCTCTCACATTGAGAGTTAACCACCTTAGATTTTGTGTTTTTCTTTCTTTCTTTTTCTGTTTCGTGTTATTATTGCTCTCCATTTTAATCTATAATACATGAAAAAAATAAGTAGAATTTAGCAAATTGTGGTTTAAATTACCCTTTCCAAGGAGAGTCTTAGATAAATTGTTTTTGAAAATGGTTGTGTAGGTCCCCAACCTCAAGGCTATAAGAGGCCTTGATTGGTGGCAGATGTATTGATGATAAATTTTGAGACACTGAGTTGTTGCAATGGTTTGTTGAGGATGCTAGAGTGGTAACTTATTATTATTATTTTTAACACCATACAGAAACAAAGAACCAAAAATCAATTATCATCTCTTACATGCTTAGGATTGGTCATTGTGTAACAATCCAAGTTGTTCAATTGATTTCCACATTTTTAACTCATTTATTATTTACTAATGTTAAATGCTTCTTTCACATTCTTACCATTGATCAATGGATTGTTTCGTCGATCGATTCATAATATATCATCCCATCCTTGTCTATGTAGTGTGGTCATGGCATGTTGTTTGATCAATTTAATAATTGTACATCGACTGATATATATTACTTTATGTTGATATGTCAGGTCGCCATCTTCTTAGTTTTAGCTATGGTATTACGACGGAAACCTGATGTTCTAATTAACATATTACCGAATTTGAGGGAAAACAAGTATCAAGGGCAAGATAAGCTTCCAGTTATTGTATGGATGGTAGTGCAGGTGAGTAGTTAGCCACTTTAGCATCATTGTCAATCATTAGCTCTCCTTCTGAAAAGCTGAAGTTGAGCCTTTTTGTGTAGGCCTCTCGAGGAGATCTCGCTGTAGGATTGTACTTGTGGGCACATCATATTTTGCCTATGCTTAAAGGCAAATTGAGCTCCAACCCACAATCTAGGGATTTGGTTTTGCAGGTTGTGGAAAGGTGATTTTCTCTTGAAACTCGCACAACTTGATATGAACCTTTTTATTTTATTTTTTATATATTTTTTAATTTCTTTCCATTTAATTGATAAAATCACTTGATTCTGAGTCAGGATTCTGTCAGCCCCAAAAGCTCGTAGTATATTAGTAAACGGTTCGGTTAGAAAGGGGGAGCGTTTGATTCCACCTGCATCGCTTGACCAACTGTTACATGTAACCTTCCCTGCATCTTCTGCACGAGTCAAGGTTGGATTTATCGTAGAACTTTTGCAACGTTATTTAATAGTTCCAGCCAGTACCCTGTCTGGTCCTGCTCTGCATTCTTGTAAATTTCTCTCAGTGCATTCATTTATCTTTCTTCGGGTATGTATTTCAGGCAACTGAAAGGTTTGAGTCAATCTATCCAACTCTGAAAGAAGTTGCTCTTGCTGGTGCTCCTGGAAGCAAAGCCATGAAACAGGTATCACAGCAGATACAGGCTGTAGCTGTGAAATCAGCTCAAGAAGGTGATTTTCAAATTTTAACTGACATTTTATTCCCCAGACTTTTTAAATAGTTAGTTAAAATCGCTAAAGAACATGGTGAGTTTGATACAGCGTTATTTACAGAGATTCCAGAGCTAACCGAGGAAGCAGTTAGCATATTTGTCTGGTGTTTGACTCAGAATCCTGATTGCTACAAGCAATGGGTAAGCTTAGTTGGTACCTTTGCATTCCATCAGGTTGTGCATTAGACTGTTAATGCTGCGAATTTATGCAAATGATGTTGGAGACTTAATTTTACATCAGCCCTCCTGTCTAAAGCCAATCTCTTTCACTTGAAGAGACTTACAAGCTTTGACCTGTTTACCTTCTCGATCAGTTTATAGCAATTTGTTATTTAAAATATGACTCTATATTACCCTTTTGGTCATTTATAATGGCATTCACCTAAAAATTCTCTCTAACATTGATTTAAACAGGATAAGATTTATATGGACAACATAGAGGTTAGTGTTGCAGCCTTGAGGAAGCTTGCCAAGGAGTGCAAGGAGATTCCATTGCAACAGTGTTCTCTCGAAGCATTGAGGCAAACTCTAAATATTTTCAGGCAAAAAGTGGGTATTTATTTTCTGATATTTCATCACGATTAGCTGGTAGTTCATCCTTTTTCGAGTCTAATTGTAATGGCTTTAGAGTTCCTCAAATGCACACACTCCTGCATTGCTGTCTTGCAGACACACTTGTGTATAAGCTTGTAACATTGGACTTGTTTTCTACCTTCTTTGTCCACAGAACGAGAAAGCATTAGCTGGTGGAGTGGATGTTGCTCACCAAGCTTTCTTCAAGGACGCAGATAAATACTGTAAGGTAATATTGGGCAAAATATCACGTGGGCACAGTTGTGCCAAAACTGTGGCATTTGCGTTTGTGGTACTGGCAGTGGGAGCAGCTATAATCTCCCCAAACCTGGGTGAGTGGGATTGGGACAAGTTTTCGGCTTTGTTCAATGCTCAATAATCCTCTAAATGGCAAATTTACAGCCAAATCTGAGAGACAAAAGACATTGGTTTTTTGATCCTTTAACGTGGGCAAAACTATCCACATATGCGTGAATAAAGTTGCAGAAGAGCTAGGTCTTTGTGTAATAGCGAGTACAGATAGTGTTGCTTAAAGTAGAATAGTTGGAAAATTATCACTGTGGAAAAGAAGCAAATTCTGTCGTAGCATTTCGAACTGATTTTGCTTGCTTGCTTGCTTTTTGATTAATGCTATTCATCATCTCTGGTGTTAAGCATTAGGCCCTGTTTGGTACTAATTTAAATCAGATTTTAATCTAACTTAAAGTCAAAAAATCAATTTTAACCACATATTATGGGCTTCACAACTTTTTAACCACACACATTTCAAAAACTTTTATCAAAATTTATTGAAAATCTGATTTTAATTCCCATCAAACAAGGGCTCAGTTTAGATGACAACTACATAATGTTTTATTTAATTGAACTTATCAAGTGTGGGTGTGGTCAATTAGATTGATGCTCTAGCACCGCATGGCATTACTTTTACTTTTGTGATTTAGGGTTGTAATCCATGAAGCAATTCAGCTGACAACTTTGTGTTTATGCAAAATGATCGCCATATTTGTTTTTCTTCTTTTTGGTTTGGCTTTTGGGAGATTTCATTTAGAAGGAATCAAGGATACCTGTAATAATTTGTCTTCATTGAATTTGGTTCAACCTGAACATTTTCCAGAAACTTCTTGTGTTATTACATATTTTCCAGTTATATGTTTTAGCTAGTGTTTTGTCGAAGCTTACTCCCTCCGTCCATAAAGATAGACTTGCATTCTTTTTTGTCTATCTCAAATTATAGGCCACTTTGTTGAGAGTATATATGATTTTTTAGTTTTCTAATATATTCTTATTTAATATGTGTTGTTATCGACAAATATGAACTATTTTTCTTTAAATTATTAATTAATGTAGGGGTATATTGGGAAAAAGGTAAGAAAAATTGTGTTTTTAACTATATTTATCATATATTTTTTTAATCTATATGAAATGAAAGCAATTTGGAACAGGCGCAGTAATTGATTATAATTTAGTGAAACATTACACATTTTCACACATTTTTTGGGATCTATAACTTTTACTTACTTTCAATCACAGATTTATAAGAATTCACTACCTATAATCAAATATGAGCCTGGACAAACATGGGCTTGATGATGAAGATATACATATAATGGATACGTGAATCTTATGTAAATGCAAAGTTTTACGAGTATACTTTCAAATGAAAAAGGGTTTGTAAAAGAATTTTTTTATGAGTTTTTTCAAGTACCTTAGTGACCATGTTATATCGATGAATTTGTTACATATTTGATATATTAGAGTGGGTAATGATGAAGTGAACATGGTGATTTGGTGGAGTGAATAAAGAGCTAACATATTCCCGACTAGAGCAGGATCTGAAGCGAATTATTAATCGTTATAAAGGCCCTTGAGCCCTTGTCCCAATTGACCCTCGAATGTGAAAGGTGTCCTTCATGTGATCTCATAATTTCCACTGGATGGAGATGATGGGTCGATAAACACATAAGATGCATCAAACATTTCTTCTCTGTTATGTATTCTACAACTTGCACTAACGTGTTGAAAATCAGAAAATGTATATTAATGACATCACGTTGTTATTATTATTCTTGTTACTCTCTTGTACTGGACAAGATAAAGCTGCCTAGAGACCTAGCAAATAATGGGGAATAATGTTTTGTGTTTGAAGTTTAAACAATGGGTATAAACTATAAGAATGAATTTTTTTGCCTTTTCAATTATACTTTTTGTTATGCCTCATTTGTTGAGGTTTTCAAGTATTGGTCACAAAATAGCCAACTAGCAAATCAATTTCGGCACGTACCCTACATCACTGTCGTACTTGACCTAGTCGAGGCCATTAAACATAGGTAATTGAAGTGATGCTTGACCTCTATCATGGTGCTATGCAGAGACCGATCTTCTGTAGTCTAAGCGAGGTGTTACGACTTACTGCAGCACAAATTCGAAGCGAGTTAGCTTTTAAATACATGAAGGCATCTTTGTAGCGGCGCTTCTAAATCAGTTTGTCAGTCTACTTTGCAAGATTGCTCGATTATGATCTCTTTCGTCAAATTATAAATCCAACTTCACGAAATTGCTTCTTAACGTCCTTGTGTCGATCATTCTTCTTCACAATAAAGTCTGAAATGCTGCTTGTCTATTTAAACTAAGCTCTTTATTCGGTCCCAATCTCGACCTTGAAAATCCATTTAACATCGAAGTAACCCTTTACAAAACAATCCCAAGGTTGAAACAATAGACTGCCCTTGGTTTAGAAATCAGTAGTATATATCCGAAGGGTTGGTGGATTCGACCCGAGTTGTGGCTGCTGAGTGCGCAATATTTCCATTGCTGAAATTGCTCGATATCAGGACCGAAAGGGCTGTTGAAGCTAGCTTAGCTATATTGTATAATTTCAGCATGGACAATGAAAATCACTCAGCCATTATTTCTGCAGGAGCTATTTCTGTATTGAGAACCGTGCTCTTCTGTGGATGCCGATTATATATCAAATTCTAATAAAATTTTTATTTAACAAATCAATTGCTAGCATGTTTTACCACTTAATTAATGTTGACCTCAAAATTCGAAGGACACATGGTCAATAGAATTTTGGTCACCTCCTCTCTACGTAGGTATCAATATCATTTACACACTATAATACATTATTAGGAGGCAAATGCCACATATCAAAAAAAGGTCGAAAAATAAAAAATATGACTGTTATTCATCACATCAAATTATCATATTTGACTTTCTATCTCTTATATGATTTCCGTAATGACTATATTTTTCATTTTTATTCTTACAAAAATGAGAATCAAACGAGGGCTAAATTTACAACAAAATAATAATTTACAACTAAGAATTGTTTCAAGGAACATGCTACCTTGGATTCTTTATATTATATAATTCTTGTTTATTGGTGGGTAGCTTTAGAATCTTGTCTACTTTAAAATATTTTATATTTTTAATTTAATTTATTTTAATAAATAAAAAATATTATAAAAAGCTTTTGTCAAAACAGCGATAACGACACGTATCGTCATCAACGGCGAATGGGCCGCCAAAAAGCACCCAACCGAAGGAACAAAAGCCCTTTCACTGGACAAAAAAGGAAAAATTACCAAGGAAGTCCTTCAACTTTTATTTTTGTTTTATTTTAATAACTCAATTTTGATATAATTTGATCTAATTTGCATTTTAGCTTAAACCTGACCGTTGTGTCGATCACTTTTAGTCAAGTCAAAGGTAGTTTGTCGAACAAATTGAAATAATTATAATTCTTAAATTCATAATTCAAACCTTTTCATAGGGTAATAAAACTATTTATTTAATGTCAGACAAGTGTCGCTTCATACATTTGATCGACTATCTAGGAATTGAGTTTACTTTTGATCACGATCAGAGAGAGCGGACAGGACAATTGAAGTGAAATAAAATGAAGTTTAGTGATTAATATGAAAGAAATTTGTAAGTTAGGTGGCCTCTAACGAAACATTTGCGGAAAAAGTAAGAAAATAAAAAACAGAGGGAAAATCTGTATTTCCATTTTAACAATAAAACTAAAGCCCCATTTCTCTCTCTCTAGCAAGAAAGAGAGAAATTCCGATTTGTAAGATAAAAAATAAAAAGAGAGAGAAGAAAAATACGGCGATCTGAACGGAGGAAGAGGCAAATGGGCACACTTCAAACATGGAGAAAAGCATACGGAGCTCTAAAAGATCAAACCAAAGTTGGACTTGCCCATGTTAATTCCGATTACAAGGTAACCCTTTATTCTCTCGCTATCTTTATATTTCTATGTAAATTTATACTTGTACGGTTGTTTTTGATTATTTGCATACAGAAAGAATTTGGGAATAAAAATTTGATGATTGGATTTATGGGTTTTTCTTATTTGGACGGCTTAAAATAGGATGTGGATGTGGCGATTGTCAAGGCTACAAATCACGTAGAAGTTCCACCCAAAGATAGACACCTCAGAAGTAAGTTTTTCATTTTATATTCTAATCTATAATAATAGATCCGCAATTGGTGGTTTTCTATATTTTAGGAGAATTTGATTTTTATCCTTTTGGCCGAACCTCAAGGAGAATGGTAAATTTTTTGGCTTCATTTTTAAAGGATGTGCATTCTGGACATGGTTTTCACTTTTCAGTTTGTTTTAAGAAAATTGTGGGAAAATTTATTCTTGAATTCGTGTTTACTAGGAAATTTGTTCTGCTATTTTAGATAACCTCTGAATTTCGGGTCTTCAAGAAGAAATATTATTATTAACATGGATTCCAATATGTTAAATTAAAATAAGTTTACAATCCGGGTTTCTTTTTTATTAGAAGGTTTGGAGGCTTTTGATTTGGGAATTCATAATCATGTAGTCAAAATGAGTGATTTTGTCACAGTACTATTATTGTTCTATTGCTTCTTGTAGAAATTTTGGCTTCCACATCAGCAATTCGGCCTCGGGCTGATGTTGCATACTGCATGCATGCACTTGCAAGGAGGTTGGCAAAGACACATAACTGGACGGTATGGATTTTGCTTTCACGGGGCTTGAGTTTCAGTATTGCATAATATTCTTGTAGCTGGCCTTTTTTGGTTTGATTTGCTGCCCAAGTGAATCTATCAGAATTTATTTGACCAAGAATGAATCATTTGAAACATTGAGTTGCATTCTTCTTTGATGCAGTGAGCCAGTGAAAGCTCACATTCCTTGACTCCACAGTGCATATTATCAACTTCTTCTTGTGTTTTATTTGGAAACTCATGCCAAATCTTTTATGTGTCGAACAGTTTGTCAAAATTCCATGCTTATTATAAAGATTGTGACCTGAAACTTCATCTGGAAGAATCTTCAGTGAATGTTCACATCAACCAGTAAATGATTTAGAGCTATAAATGATCTTTTATGTTTTAATTGCTGCCTTCCCTCTAGATTAGCCTAGATTCACAATTAATTAGATTGGGTGACTCTCACTTATAGTAGCCACCTTTCCCATGGTGGAATGGCTACCGTCTTTTTGTTGTAGCTCAAGGACTCAGAGAATGTTTGGAGTCAAACAGACTGGCATCTCTCATTGAACAAATACACTAAAAGAATTTTTCCCCTCGCCCTATTCTTCTATTTTGCTTAAGCTGGTGTATACAGCACACAATCTTTCGGAGTTCTCTTCATTGTTCCTACTCTTCTGGGCTCTAGACATCATTCTCCTCTATATGCTAGAGGCATCAATGCAACATTAAGATTCCAAGTAAAGCAAAAAATTTTGTTTTTGTTTCGCATCTGTAGGTTGAAAAAAAAAATCAAAGAAAAAAAGTTCATTACTCTTAGTTGTTTTAAGGATTTCTGAAGGTCTCATTTAGACATGAAGTTTTGTTTTCCAAGGTTTTGAATCAATTATCTTTCTGGAACTGGACTGTCAGTATCTGGTTGATCACATCAGAGTTGTTATGAATGTAGCCAAGGTCAAAGGAAAGACCTTAATTATATATTCTAAGTATACGTTCTGTTTGTACACTCAGATCATATCATTATGGGATAAAAAATGTTTTCACAGCATGGAATAGAGTAAATTCTGTTTAGCTTACATGGTCATGTATTTATATATAGTAACCTGGTGCTTTTCCTAGCAGGTTGCATTAAAAACACTGATAGTTATCCATAGAATGTTGAGAGAAGGTGATCCGACATTTAGGGAGGAACTTTTGAATTTCCAGCAGAGAGGGCGCATCCTTCAATTGTCCAATTTTAAGGATGATTCAAGTCCCATTGGTAAAGGCCAGTGACCTTTTTTTCCCTGATTTTTATGCTCGTCTTTTATCATCCCCCTGCCCGAGAATCAAGAATAATGCATGGCTTCTTTCTTTTGCCAGCTTGGGATTGTTCTGCTTGGGTACGGACATATGCATTCTTCTTGGAAGAAAGACTTGAATGCTTTAGGATACTGAAGTATGACATTGAAGCCGAGCGTCTTCCAGGACCTGCACAAGGCCAAGAGAAGGTTGCATCATTTAGCGAATCTCATGAGCATCCTGTGAATCATAATTTGGGGAAATTTTTGCTTTACAATCTTATTTGTGGAGTATGATATTCATTCTTCATGAAATGTCTTCTCTCCCATTAGAGTAAGCTTGTATGATTATAGTTGAGTTGAATACTTTCATCAGTTTGCATTTGATATGTTTAGTAAGACAGTAATTATAAAGCTAATTACTGAGGGAATTTCTGGAATATTCTGGACCTATACTTTGAAACATGATAGGGTTTTGCTATTATTTGTGATCGCCAATAGGAATTCAGCTTTCCTCCTTGATATGGATGCTCAGATGGCTTAAGCCTGTGAATTTTTTCTAGTCCTAGAGATAAAATTTCAATCCCATGGCTATGGAGTAGCTAAAAAGATAAACTCTATTTAAGAACATCATTTCCAGCTTAATTCATGGTTTATTAATTCCAACCTTGGTTGAAATTTATAGTTTTGTTCCTTGGTTAGCAGGGTTATAGTAGAACTAGAAACTTGGACAGTGAAGAACTTTTGAATCAACTGCCTGCCTTGCAGAAGCTGCTGTACCGTCTTATTGGATGCCGGGTACTCTCTGATTTTTCATAACAATAATTCACGGGCACATCCATTTTCCAGTTTATTAATTTATTCTCCAACCTTCCTGTTGTAAACTCTGAAATTCTTCATTAACAGTATAATAGAAAACTGAATATTGTGAACCATTGTGAATTTTCAGCCTGAAGGAGCAGCTGTTGGCAATTATGTGATTCAGTATGCCCTTGCCCTGGTATGCGATCTAACTCTGTACCTCCGACATAGATTGTAGACGTGCTTAGCAAATTCCATAATCTTCACTGGAAAAAGGAATAAAGGTAAACTTGAAAATATGGAAATGAGTCCTTTGGTGCATTTAGTATGAGGTTAAACTGCGAGAAATATATTAAAAAACCTTATCATCTGTAAACATGGAAAGAAAAGAAACTGGTTGGGAAGGGGAAGACTGATACTCTGATAGGATATTGGGAAAATGAAAGTTTCATTGTTTTCACCTCCCTCCTTCTCACTTGTGGAAAAAGAAAAGTAAGAAAATATACCAGTTGCTTTTTTGAGAATCTTTATTCATATTTGCCATGCATGATTGATTTAAGATAAAATATGAAGATTGCTTACATTTCCTGGTCAATATATGTGATTTCAGGTGCTCAAAGAGAGTTTTAAAATTTATTGCGCTATAAATGATGGAATTATCAATCTTGTTGACAAGGTGACATAGCTATTAGGTTTGCCAGATTAATTTCTTAACTATATTTTAACGGTTGTTTAATTTCTTCGATTTTCCATTTCAGTTTTTTGAGATGCCAAGACATGAAGCCATTAAAGCTCTTGACATCTATAAAAGAGCTGGTCAGCAGGTAGTTTTTTGCTCTGCAGACCTCAATATTAAGCTTCAGTTAGATTTGTCATGTTTTCTAGTCACTCATAGATCAGGAAGTGAGGGCCTTGTACTTGATTGATGGCGGGTTGTAAAAGTGTTGTATGTTATTACGCAGGCTGCTAATCTTTCTGATTTCTATGAAGTTTGCAAAGGACTTGAACTTGCTAGAAACTTCCAGTTCCCTGTGTTGAGAGAGGTAAAGAGACCCCATAAGTTTTTGTGCCTTTAACTTTCTAGTAATTTTCTTTAATATTCAGATGAGAAGTTTACGCATCATGCTCTCTCTCTCTCCTTTTTTTTTACTGTTTTTTCCCCTAGCCTCCACAATCCTTTCTCGTGACCATGGAGGAATATATAAGAGAAGCACCACGGATGGTTTCTGTTCCCAATGAAACTTTGGTTAGTATTTCATTCCACACTATTGGAAGTTGTTACTTTCTAGTTCCTCTTATGATTCTTTTATAATTGTATTACTCCTATGTAGATTGTAGGCTGTAAATTCTCCTTGTAAAACTGTAGTTTCTTAGAATAAGTTCTCATGGCTGTATATGAATCCTTTTGATAATCTCAATAGTTGTGTGAATGAAATTCTGATTTCGTCCTCTTCTAGCTTTTTTTTCCTGATCTATTATAGAATCTGGTGGTCTTTCATTGCTTTCCTGCTCTTCTTTTGTTGCAGAAATATTTTATTTTTTCTCGCCTTCCATGTCTTCTACCATTTTTTTGTCTTTCAAGAAGCCTGGGCCTCAATTACCAAAATCCCGTATATTTCCAGATTTCATTACCCAGATGTTTTCCCGGACTCCTTGTTTAGTCCTGTATCCATTTGTCACGTCTATCCTTATTATGGTTGTTTGTCTTCTGCAATAACAAATATGCTCCCTGCAAACACTACTCTTACTTTTCCTAGTGAAAACTCTAACCCCAAGTCACAACTTTCAAACTCAGTGGCCAAAATTTTCTCGAATTTTGTTGTAATCAGTCAATTTATGCAATCCACCATGGGAGAAACATATCAGGACTGTCTATGGACTCAAGTGCATATGGGGGTGGCTTCTTCTGCAGAAGAGATGGAGCCTGACACTCTCTGTCCAAATTGGGAAATCAATTTTACATGGAGAAGGTGTGAAGATGGAGTGGAAGCCTATATCATTGCATATTGAGTTGTTTCTGTCAGTGACCAAATATCTGGCAGTTGATATTGTACATTTATTGGAGGAATCATATGACTAGAAGAAGTTTGAAACAATCAGTGCTGGCCAGATAAAGTGCAGAAGACGAATTTAGATCAATGGTTCAAGGTTCCATTTTGTTGTTTTTGGATAAGAATGAGTCTTGTTGTCTTGGGAGTGAGACTGGAAGTTCCTATGAAGGTTTATTGCAACAATGCAATCAGCCATAAGCATGGCACACGATCCTGCCCCTTGTGACCAAATTAGACAGATTTGGCATTTTCCTAAAATAGGTTGTTACAGCTGTATTGGATTACAATAGTAATCTCTGTTGCCGTGAAGAAATTCTGATTTCTCCGCCCATGGAAACACTATTTTGTAGCACCATTTTTTTCCTGGATTTTACATGCATCTTTTATATCTTTCTATGTATGGACTGTTGGCATATAACAATCTTTGAAGATATTTTCCATAACTCTAATTGAAGCAATGCATGCTTTTCTAATTATGATCATTCTTTCAGGAATATCCGGAAAGGCTTCAGTTGACGTATAGACAAGAGGATGTTCCTTCACCTTCCGAAGACGCAAAAGTGTTGTCTGAGGAAGCTAAGCCTCCTCCTTCAGATGGTGATGCTGTCTCAACTACGGAGGCAGCCGTTCCCCCTTCACCTCCTCCTGCTAATAACCTGGACACTGATGATTTACTGGTGAGTTCCTTATTTCCTGTTATTCTCATAAAATTGTGATTTGAGTTTTGGTGCTCAAATAATCTGCTATCTGCATTTCCATGTTCCGTTTACTGCATCCAATTTTATATATAAATTATTTCAGGGCTTGAATGCTATTGCACCTGATGCATCTGCTATTGAGGAAAGCAATATGTTGGCTTTGGCCATAGTTCCATCTGGTTAGACTTTTCTACATGCTCCTTTCTCTTTTGACTTATTTGCTCTGCTTAAACTTCTTTACTTCATCATGTTTTAAAAGAAGAATCTTTGGATATCTTATAATGCTGCAGATACTACATTTGAGTCTAGTGCTTCGCAATCCAAAGATTTTGACCCTACTGGATGGGAACTTGCCCTGGTCACTACTCCCGGCAGCAACTTATCTTCAGTTCAGGACAGGCAATTAGTAGGTTCTTCTGCACTTGGTAACTTTGTGAATTACTAACATCATTATCTCTGCCATGCGCATATCCCATCTTCACGTTGTGTTCATCCCTTAGAATAATTAAATTTCTTCCATTCCTGGGGATGTGCCTAGGGATGGTGTGCATTAAGCATTTTTAGGCAATAGAATTTGGCACGTGTCAAAGATTTCTTTTATAGAAATGTAGTTTGCATATGTGATATGAAGTGTGAAGTTAGAGCAGACTGCATGGGAACTGAAGGGAGAAAGATATTAATGGAGATGCGAAGTATCAGCTTATCCTGACATGGAACGAAAATATTTACAATTTAGAAGGATCCAATCTAAGCTTTGGAATTCCTGAGCCTCTTTTGTCCAAATAAAGAGTTGGCTGGGATTGATAATTATATTTTTTAAGGGGCTGGCGCACAAACTTTAAAAGTTAGATTTTTAGAAAAAGTCGGTACACATTTTAAGTTTCTAAAAGTCCCCACGCACACCCTCTAAAAATAAAAAGAAAAAATTGTGGAAACTTCAGTTTTAGAAATGAAGAATATGTGAAGTATGCTAATAAGTTTAAATAAGAGAACATGGCTAGAAGTGAGAGTTGTTATAAGCTGTTTAAGTTCAAATATGGGTGCTTTCACTTCCTTTTAATGACGAAAATAATTAATTTCAGTTTGAAAAGAAATGGAATACGCTAACAAGAAAGAAAGATAATGTTACAGTAAATTTAATTGTCAATGAAGGATGTAGTGGTATGGATCAGATGGGTTTCAAACAATTTTTTGTAAAAAAGAGCATATAAATTCGAAACTCTGCCCAAAGTAATGGCATGCTTTCGATTACATGCCAAAACCCTGCCAAAAAATTTATTAACAGTAAATTAATGAAAGAAAGCATTTCGGGTACGAGTAATGCTGTTCATCAGCAGCATATGTGGCAGTATGGTCACAGCCACATTCTCCTGAAGAAATGCATTTCAATTATTGGAGAATGCAGTAGTGACCCCAATGCCACATTAGATGCTGATCATCATCTTTCGATGAATATAATTATTCTTTTGGGGTACTTCGTAAAGTGTTTGTCGACACTTGAAACTACAAATAGAGTGTTCATTGTTTTGTTTACTACAAACATTTGGCTACTTATGGTAAAACAACACTTTAATTTTATCTCCATATAGTGGTTATAGTTTTTGCTTTGTCGATATTTGCTTGGCAGGCTGGTGGACTGGATTCCCTCACTCTTAATAGTTTGTACGATGAATCTGCTTATAGAGCATCACAGCAACCAGCATATGGAGCACCTGCTAACAATCCATTTCAAGTGGCTGATCCATTTGCATTATCCAATACTGTTGCTCCTCCCCCAGCTGTTCAAATGGCGGCAATGGCTCAATATCAAAGTAATCCTTTTGGTCCGTTCGAACCTGCTTATCCCCACCCCCAACAGCAACAAAATTTACTGATGGGCCCACAAAATCCTTTTGGCGATATGGGTCTTGGAGCATTTCCTGTCAACCCTGCTGCTCATCCGCAAACAAGCAACCCATTTGGGAGCACTAGCCTTCTATAATAATGATGCACATATTTGCGGAATGTAATTTACTCGGCCTAGTTGATTTTTTCAAGTTCCAAATGAGTGAAGCAGTGTGGTGGTGCAACCATTTGCGTGGAAGATTATTTTTCAGCTGGAATCATATGCGCATCTTTTTTTGTGAAGACAGAACAAATAAAAATGTAATTTCATGTTGATATGATACAAGATTTATAGACGTGGTTGATAATCTTACTATTTATTGTTCAGAAGTGGACTTCTGGCTATTGTACTTCAAGGTAGTTTTAGTCGGATCTCCGCTTGATATTGGCTTGGCACTGGCATGTATTCTTGATATTTGGAAGTTTAGCTTCTATGTTTAGATTTGGGATTTTTGCTTTTGCTTAAAATGAGGGAAATACATGGCATTGATCCATTTAAGAAGGCCAAAAATGGCCTTTGACCATTCAAATGCTAAAATCTACCTAAAATACCCTCAACATAAAATTTATAACCAAGCCATCTTAATTTTAAAAGAGTTCAATTAAGCGCTCAAATTATTATCTTTAATTTTTTCCGCCTTGTAAAAAATTGGTATCAGAGTCTAGTAACGAAACTGAAGAATATATTATTTAAAATTAATAGAAAATATAAAATGATTTTAGAAGAATTACAAAATATTGGTATATTAACTAATACTAATCGTATTAAATTGCAAGATTTAGCAATAAATTTAAGTACCGAATATAAATCTCTAAGTGAAGAAATAAAACAAATTAATAATTCTCAACAATGAGTTGAAACAAAAAATAAAGTATTACAAATCCTAGTAGATGAATCTCTCAAATATGAAGAGGAAGACATTATTATAAATCAATTTTTAAAACAATATGATAATTATGCTAAGCCTTTAGGAAAACCAAACATTATAAATGAAGATGTCATAACTAGTATAAAAAATATGGAACCAAATTTAGAAATTGTTAATAACTATATTAAGATAGGACCAAAAATCCTATATAAACAAATTGAATCAACATTTAAAGAATTAAAAAATAAAAAAGATTCTTATTTCTTTATTGAACCACCCTTACCGGCATATGTTACAGTAGAATTAGAAACAAAATTCTTTGAAACTACTAAAGAAGAATTAGAAACTTATAAACAAAGTTTAGAACAATTAGCTATGCAAACTGAATATATATATGAATGATCCTCCACCTAAAGAAGAAACTACTGAAATTAATACTCCACCTTTAAATCAACAAGTTAAAAACTGGCCGTTAATTGGAGAAACTAGTAGAACTAATATTAATACAGATTGGACTCAAGTTGAATCTGATGACTATAATTTTGAATGGATAAAAGAACAAGAAGGCTACAATTTTAAAAAGGAACCAAAAACTATATCAACCAAACATATACATCTTAGAGATAATAATCCAGTAAAATTATTTACTGAACAAATTCCTACTACAGGAATATAGTTAGATATTGATGATAGCAATAATAAAAGTGAAATTATTGACTCTTGCGCAAAAAACTATTGATTTAGCTGTTGCTTTTCATAAATGGAATACCACTCAAGCGTATAATTTTATAATCCACACCTTTAGAGGAATTACTTCAGATATCTGGAGAAGAACTTCTGAAGAAACTAACAATAAAATTAAATATGACGAAAAATCTACAACTACCATAGATAGCAATGAAAGTTTAGATGTTGAAAATTTTAAAGAAGTGTTAAAACGAATTGAAATTTTTTTTAGACACCTATTATTAGGAGAAGTTATACCAGAAACTAAAATTGATATGATTACTCAAGAAACTTTACAAGCTGAAAGAGAAATGGAACTATGAAAAATTTGTGACATGTGTGAATTAAATGAATATACTAAGAAACTTGAAAAGATATATATCAAACCATCTAAATCTATAAAAGAATGGAATCTATCAGAAGAAGATAAAAAATTATTAAATAGATATTTTCTTAAATTACCTTGGCCATGGGGTCAAAAGTTATTTGAAGATTACCAAATCTATTGGAGTAAAATAGAATGGGAAGACTCTAACCACAAAGTTGATACTTTAGGAATGAGAACTTCATTCGCTAAAAGAAAAATCGCCGAATGGTACAAAAAATCTATGTACCAACGCCTATTTAGAAAACATGGTAAAAAGCTAGTTTATATTATTATGGAGAAATAACATCTGTATTACAATTTGGTTGTCACCAACCATCTAAAAAACTATATTATAAAAAGAAATTTATGAAATATTTAAAACCTTGGAAGAAAAATAAACGATTTAAGAATCACCAAAAATATTTTAAGAAGAAAAAACCTTGGAATAAGGAATATAACCAATATAAGAAACCTTGGAAGAAATCTAAGGAAGAATTTTATAAAAAATGCAAATGTTTTACCTGTAATGAATTATGACATATCTCTCCCAACTATCCTAATAAAAATAAAACAGAAAATGTTAAATCTATTAAATTAATGGAAGAAATTGAATGCGATTCAGAATTTGAGATAATTGAAGATTTAGACGAATTAGCTGAAACAAACTCAATTTATGAGCTTGATATTAAAGAAATTGAGGAAACCTGAATATGAACAGATATATATGAATCAAGAAATTATTGATACTGTTGAAACTACCTTAGATAGTGAAGAAGGAACTTCACAAACTGTTATGTTTGATGAAGAAAGATATGGAGCTATAAAAGAAAAACAGATATCTTTAAGAGATAAAGATGTTTTTATTAAACCAATACTACCTTGGTTTAACAAAACTATATACATTGCCAAATATGACGAAATGCATATTAACATAGAAAATGTTAAGGGCAATACTATTGTACCTTTAATTACAAGAGAATGTGTTAATAGAGAATTAGTAAATATTAAAAGATCCACTAGAGAAAGATTAAAGAATATAGTGATTGGAGGAATCCAAATCATGATTAAAGGATACTTTAGAGAGGGAATGAATATTCCTATGCAAATATATTTAATGGCTAATAGGATACTTCATGATCCTATGGACGCTCTATTAGGAGTTGTCTCTGGAAATTTTGTATATAAGAAAATTATATTTACTATAAGATCTAGATTTGCCATGTCTATATTAGATGAAAACTTAAGTTTAGGATTAAATCTACATTACAAAATTGATGGATTAAGTATGCCACCAAGAAGTAAAGCTGTAACTTTACGTTGTAAAGCTTTATATGCTTTTACTACTACACACCAAAAAGAAATCAATAAAATTTCAGGAGAATTCATAGAAATTCATGAAGACTTTAAAAACCTAGCACAATTTACATCACCAAGAATGCTAAGTGATTGTAACATTTCGTTACCACAAGAGATATTACTTGATTTTCATCAACGATCTAGAAGAATAGACAGTAATGTAGGTAATCAAGGATTAGCAACTTTGAATATTTTTGGACAATTTGTAGTTAGAATGCCTAGTAGAAGAATAGAAAGAAGTATCAGTACTAGAGAACTCTCAAGCTCTAGTAGACCATATACAAGAAGAAATTACACAACTATACCTAGAAATAGTATTGATATTGATTTAAGAAAAAGTGAGGAAGATAATTTCCTTATATTAACAGAATATTTCAATAATCAAAATAACTGCAAAGAAATCATAACCCTTGTTAATATCGGAGCTCGTACTAGCCATATAAGAGCAGACTTAGTCGATCATTTAGTAGAAGAAAATCTGCCATAGGGAATAACTCTTACAGATTATCATGGAATTAAATATGAAATTAAAACATTTGTTAATCTTAACTAAGTTTTACTGACGTAAAAGGAGAACAATTTAAGCTAAACCTTAAAATTCATAAAGATTATAGAAAGTGAAAAGATACTAGCCCAATATTACTTGGAATGAACTTTCTTGAAAATGTATCACCATTTGTTATTCAGAAAAACATACTACAAATAACTGTTGAAGGTAAACAAAAAATGTTGCCTAGAGTTAATAAAAACAAAGAATTAATTTATATGTTACAAGGAATTAGATCAATCAAAACTAGTATTTTGAGCCCATATATTAAGATAACTCTCAATTTACCAGATTACTGTATTATAAGATTTCATGCAATACTTGATACTGTATTAGGAATTTGCCTATGTAAAAGAAATGTGTTCCCAGAACACTATTATAAAAGAGATTATAAGAAAACAACTTACGGTCAAATAGCTAGTGATATTGTTGAAATATATAGAGATTTTGTGAAAAATGTTCATATTATTATTGGAAATAAAGAATGTTTTATTCCACAAATATTCGCTACAAATAAAATTGGATGTGATATTCTCTTAGGAGAAAATTTTATCTATACATATAGCCCTTTTACGCAAAATAAAGATAGTTTTGAATTTACTACACCTTGTAATCACAAAATTAAAACATCCAAAATTTATAAAGCAATTGGAATTGCACATCATCCAATTAACCATAAACCTAGACATCAGAGTTCTACAGGTAATCGTGGTGGATGTTATACAGAAATCAATCAAAAACAAAGAATTCATGTATTAAGAATTAACAAGTTAGAAGAAGAATTAGAAAATATTAAAATTGAACTAAAAGAATGTTATCATGAACATCCCTTAGCGAAATGGGACTAAGATAAACCTATGACAACCATTGAATTAAAAAATCTAGATGTTAAGATATCAGGAAAACAATTTCCTTATAGCGAAAAAGACAAAAAGGAATTTGAAATACAAATTAAAGAACTTTTAGGATTATGAGTTATAAGAGAATCATCTAGTACATATAATGGTCCTGCATTTATGGCCAGAAATCATAGTGAAATTAAAAGAGGAAAAGCTAGAATGGTAATTGATTAGAGATCTAAATTCTAAAACTATACCTAATAGCTATAAATTACCAATAAAAGATTTGTTAATAAAACAAATACAAGGAAGTAAATTATATTCAAAATTTGATTGTAAATCTGGATATTGGCAAATAAAACTAGACAAAGCATCAAAACCTTTAACTAGCTTTACTACCCCCAATCCATTAGGACAATTTGAGTGGAATGTTATGCCATTTGGATTAATGAATGCCCCAACAATATTTCAACAAAGAATGGATAAGATTATTAGACCAATAAAAAAATTTTGTATTGCTTATGTAAATGATATCCTTATTTATAGTAAAAATTTAAAAAAACATATCGAACACCTTAAAAAAATTTTATTATATTGCTCAAAAATATGGTCTAGCCCTATCAGAAAGAAAGGCAGAAATAGCTAAAATTGAAATTGAATTCTTATGATATATTTTTACAGAAGAGAAAATACTCCAACAACCTCATATTGAAAAAAAGATTATCGAATTTCCAGAAATAATTAGAGATAAGAAAGAGCTGCAAAGCTTTATTGGATTACTAAATTATTCTGAAAAATTTATAAAAAACTGTTCAAAATACAAAGTCTATTTTACTAAAAAGCTTAGAAAAGGAGTTGTATGGGAATGGAAACAAGAAGATATTGAAATGGTAAACAAAATAAAGAAAATATGTGAAAAATTACCTGAATTAAATATTCCAAATGATGATGATTTTTATATTTTAGAAACTGACGCATCTCTATTGCACTGGGGAGCAATCCTCAAAAGAAAAGCAAATTATGAAGAATTTATTTGTAATCCATTGTGTAAATGCTCATAAGGGCTTCTTGCATACACTTGAGGTGCTTTTAAGGATATAGAAACCAGATATGATATTAGTCGTAAAGAATGTTTGGCTATTAAGAAAGGAGTAGCAAAATTTGAACCTTATTTGTTACCAAAGAAGTTTCTTATTAGAACTGATAATACTCGGGTGAAACCATTATTGACAAATAAACTTGGAACAAGTGCAGCTGAAAGGCCACTTATTAGAATGCAAATGTGGTTTGCGCCATTTAAATTTGATATTGTCCATATTAAAGGAAAAGACAATTTTATTCAAGATTTCTTAACCAGGAATGGAGCAAATCAAGAAGGAACTCGAGACATTGAAGTTCGAGATGAATGTGAAGATAGCTGAATAGAATCCAGGATAACACTGATGGAAATGGTTGCTGTCAAGCCAGTATCTGAGAAAGCCAACAGGGCTATATTATTTGAAGGCCCTAGTGCCAATAAATCTGAAGGTTTTTATGTCAATATTGAACAATAAGCATTAAAGCTTCATAATCTATCTGTCAAGAAGAATACTGCTTTGTCTCCCTCACCGAAGAAAATTTATACAAAGGATAGTATCTCTATACCAGAGCTAAATCGCTTAAATATTATCAAAGCCTGCAACACCTCTGGTGTTACGGATATAAAAAATAAAGATGATTTTATTTTGGTATACGTATTGTTCAATCTTGCCTATTGCTGGTTCACCAGTATAGGAGGATGAATGAAAACTCTAACATATAGAACTTATAACAAAGTTAATCTATATTTAGGAGCTCCAGCTTATTGGGTTCGCACTCTTTATGAAATGGAAAATATAATTTGTATTTACCCGTCTGAATCATTAAAAGAAATTTCTATGCTGCCAAGGATGTTGTTCGAGCTATTGAAAGATATTGTTAAGTTCTTAAACACAAAAATATTTATATTAGGTTTTTCTCTGCTTGTCCTGAATGGGAAGATGAAGAAGAAGAAGATAAGTTGCTTCCAGTAAGCCATGTCATAAGAATAGCTACCACTTCTAAGCATTTCCAGCCTGAGAAAAGTGAAGTTCATGAAACTACATTAGAAGACACTATCAAGATGATAGATTTCCGTAGAGTCAAAGGATATAAGGAGCAGTTCGAGCATATCCAAAA